CACCCACCCTGGGAGATGCCCGGGCCTGGGTCTGAGCTTCAGGGTTCACCCAGGGGTGCGCTGGAGCTGCAAAGCCCCGGGCACTTAGCTACAGGGCTCTAGGCTCCCGGGCAGGGAAGGATATCTGCTGTCAGCCCTCAGGCTGGCGTTGTCCTCACTGGCTCTCCGCAGCGCCGCTTCCATCACCTGCACCTTCTGCAAGCTGCTCTGCATCTCCTCTTCCCCCGCCAGGAGCGTCTGAGCCACCTTCTCCTCCGTAGCGAGGAGATCTGCAGCGGGGGAGAGGCAGCTGTTGCAATCATGCAGGGGTGCTGCAGCCCTTCTCTGGGCCAGCGGGGAGGGGGCCCGACTGGGGGCTGCTGAGCCGGTAGGATCGACCCCAGCCAATCCACACTGCTCCCTCCACCCGCTGGGGGAGGCGCTTCCCTGCAGGTAGCCCCGGTGACGGGTCACTGGGTCCAGCCCGGCGCTGTGCTCCCCCATTGGCTGCAGGGAGCGGATCGGTTCCCTGGGAACGGAGAGCGAGTCTGTCCCTCTAGGCGTGCAGGATTCAGCCAAGCTATAACCGTACCCCAAGGAGCCACCTGGCCTGGCCTGGCCGCACCCCCCACTCAGGGGAGAGGGCCATGTGTGGGGCAGGGGAAGAGCCGGAGGTCACTGCAGTGAGGCCAGACCCTACAAACCACTGGGCTCCGGGGAACAGAGGGGCAGCACCTACCTTTAACCAGCTGTGCCGCCGTCAGCTGCGTATCCAGGAGCTTGTCAAACATCTTCTCCTGTTTGTCCAGGCTTCTCTTCAGCAGATTCCCAGCCCCACCTGCTGCCAGCAACTTCAGGAGCTCCTTGCTCACCTCCTCCATCTCCTGCATTTGTTCGTTCATCATGGCTGGGGGTGGTCACTCCCCAGGCTCAGAGGCACTGAGGCAAAAGAGCAGGGTGTGAGAGAGACAGTCCCATCCCGCCCCTCACCTGCCACCTGTTCCTTTACCCACAGTTCCCTCTGGCCCCATCAGGCCTGAGCCGCCTCCCCCCACGCTCCTGCACTCATTTCATGCCTCCCCCATGAGGCAGCTCCGGTTAGGGCCCCACAGAGGGCAGAGGTGGAAAAGGCCTCCATGGTGGGACACAGCAACACCCTGCCAAGGGTCTCTCTAGCTCCATGAGGAATCACCGTGGAGAGGGCTTCACTCCCCAGTTGTTAACTGGCCACAGCTGCTCGCTGTCTCTCAGGGCTCGACTTTACGGCCATGTGAATGCAAGCTAGCACTTAAAACCGGCCAGACTGGGTCAGGCTAATGGCAATGATCAAGTGAGCCATCCCCCGACATCCAGTCCGAGCTTCTGGCAGGCAGAGGTTTAGGGATCCTCAGAGCACGGAGCTGTGTCCCTGCCCATCGAAGGCTTTCGGAAAGTCCGGGTACATATATCCATTGGATCCCCATTGTCCACAGGTTTGTTGATCTCCCCAGAGAATGCTAGCAGGCTGTGAGGCAGCATGTGTTCCCTTTCCAAAAGCCGTGTCGACTTTTCCCCCACAAATCGTGTTCACCTGTGTCTGATCAGTCTGGTCTTCACTCGCGTGTCAATCCGTGGGCCTGGGACTGAAGTTAAGCTAACCGGCCTGGACTTGCCAGGCTTCATTCAAATCAGCATCCCAGTAGCTCTCCCCCAGGCATCTGCACCCGAGGCCGATTTAAGCCAGAGGTTACACACCACAGCTAGAAGTTCTGCAATTTCCTATGGGAATTGCTGCAGGACGCTTGGGTCTTGCCATCTGATCCTGGTGACTTATTACTGTTAAATTTATCAATTTGTTCCTAAACCTCCTCTACTGACACCTCAATCTGGGACAGCTCCTTAGATTTGTCACCTAGAAAAACCAGCCAGGGCGTGAGCTCTCATCCACGCACAAACACCTGACTTCAGTGTGATGGTGCTTGGGGCCACCAGGACAGACCAGGTCTCCCCCCATCGTCTGGGAAAGAATTCCTGCCGCACTAAGCACTGGGGCACATGCCCCTGGAAGCCCGAGCACCTCGCACGGGGAAAGCGGTGCCAGTGTGGACGCATTCTGCTGTTACGGCCGTGTGGTTAACGTGAGTTAACCCTGGTTATGTCTGCAGTGCACATCTACCCCAGGGGATCGGCGTCCAGCGCCGAGCACCCGGGTTAACGTAGTCCGGGGAGGAGCATCTCCACTGAAAAGCCCGACCCAAAGAACCGTGGCCCTGTGGATGATCAGCACGCGAGTGATTTAGCCCGGGTCCGCACTGCAAAGCAGGTCGGTTCCAAGCCCCAGCGCGGGGTGGGTTAGCCCAGGACTGAAGC